CTTTACTCTGTCAACACAAAGAACTTAACGTAACATGTAACATCTTTACTCGACCAACACAAAGAATGTAACCTAACATGTAACATCTGTCTGTCCTAACTCCAGCCATCCTATGACGTAACATGTAACATTTTACTCGGCCAACACACAGAACTTAACGTAACATGCAACATCTGTCCTAACTACAGCCATATCTTATGACGTAACATGTAACATCGTCACTCGGTCAACACAAGCAACTTAACGTAACATGTACCATCTTTACCCTGTCAACGCAAACAGCGTAACGTCCCATGTAACCTCTGTCCTACCTCCCCAGCCATATCCTATCACGAAACATCTAACATCTTTACCACAAACGCATTCGTTTCTGCTTAGAGTCTACATGACGGTTAATAAGCTCCCACCCCCCACCCCACCCCACCCCAAGTCCATGACGTATCACATTACATCTAGAATCCATCACGTAATATGTTGTTGACTGTCAGTGCCTGACATCAACACAGTCGTTTCTGCTTAGAGCCTACATGAACGTTAATACACACACCCCCACCCCCCCCACCCCACCCCATAACATCAACATGGTTCGCAAGTGCATCAACCAAAAAACAGTAAAAATAGGGTCCGGTTTTCACCCCGCTAGCATAAACATACCTGGGAATGGAGGAAGCGAACAGCGGAAGCACAAGAACAGACAAACAAATCTTATCATCCCTTCCAGCACATATCCAAGTTTTTCCACCTCCTCTATGCCCACCAACCTCAAAATGGTACCTGATGGGTTCAGCCACTATCCAGACCCTCCAGCTGACTTCGCTTGTAAAATATAGCTAGCTGGCATAATTTTTATGTATGTATTTATATATGTCTATGCCTACATTGCTACAATATCATACCATATCATGCCATGTAATGTCGTGTCATAGCATGTCACAGATGGTTGATTCTGTATGTGATATTTGACATAATGCATATACAGTGCAAATACGTACACATACATGCGTAGATGCATACTTTTATATATGACTTTATGGGACTTACAGTACACAGGCCTATTTGGTGAATGATGATAAATGGTGAGACATGAGGAGACCATCAGGCTGTTTGTTGCAGCACCTCATGTACATGCCGTTTGTTTGCCAAGCAACTACCAGAGCAAAAAGGACCAAGTATATAATGCCACAACAGCAATTGATGAAGCCTCTACCGAACCCTTCTGGCGCGCAAGGAGCATAGATATAATATTGTATATATATATATATATATATACATATATACGTATATGTATATATACATAAACATTTGCATATGCATATACATATACGGATGCATCTGCATATACATTGCATTACATCATATTGCACTACATTACAAACCATTACATGCCAGTACATGCCAGTACATATCGTTACATTCCAGTAAATACTATTATATACCAAACATCCATGCATCCATACAGATGTACATATGTATTTGTGTATATATATATATGTGTGTGTGTATTTATAAACATAAATATATATATTTATTTATTTATTTAAAAATATATGTGTGTATTTATGTATATATGTGTGATGAAATAAAAAATATATATCTCTCATCTGTATTTCTATATATATATACATCTGTGTATGTACACATATATATATATATACATATGTGTATTTATGTGTACATATATATACCCTAGGGGGCGGGGGTTCCCCGAGGGGGGGAAGGGGTGGGGTGGGGTGGGGTGGGGGGGTGGTTCATGTAACTTGCGTTTAGGGTGGGGTGGGGTGGGGTGTGATAACGTTCATGTAACTTGCGGGAAGGGTTCGGGTGGGGTGGGGTGGGGTGGGGTGTGATAACGTTCATGGAACTTGCGTGAAGGGTTCGGGTGGGGTGGGGTGGGGTGTGATAACGTCATGCTACGCTAGTGTGTTGTCTCTTGTACTTGTCACGCATACGGCAAGCTACGCTAGTGTGTTGTCTCTTGTACTTGTCACGCATACGGCAAGCTACGCTAGTGTGATGTCTCTTGTACTTGTCACGCATACGTCAAGCTACGTTATAGATGTCTCTTGTACTTGTCATGCATGAGTCCTGCTACGCTAGTGTAAGTTATCTTGTACTTGTCATGCATACGTCAAGCTACGCTAGTGTGATGTCTCTTGTACTTGTCATGCATGAGTCCTGCTACGCTAGTGTAAGTTATCTTGTACTTGTCACGCATACGTCAAGCTACGCTAGTGTGATGTCTCTTGTACTTGTCATGCATGAGTCCTGCTACGCTAGTGTAAGTTATCTTGTACTTGTCACGCATACGTCAAGCTACGCTAGTGTGTTGTCTCGTGTACTTGTCATGCATGAGTCCTGCTACGCTAGTGTAAGTTATCTTGTACTTGTCACGCACACGTCATGCTACGCTAGTGTGTTGTCTCTTGTACTTGTCATGCATGAGTCCTGCTACGCTAGTGTAAGTTATCTTGTACTTGTCACGCACACGTCATGCTACGCTAGTGTGTTGTCTCTTGTACTTGTCATGCATGAGTCCTGCTACGCTACTGTAAGTTATCTTGTACTTGTCACGCATACGTCAAGCTACGCTAGTGTGATGTCTCTTGTACTTGTCATGCATGAGTCCTGCTACGCTACTGTAAGTTATCTTGTACTTGTCACGCACACGTCAAGCTACGCTAGTGTGATGTCTCTTGTACTTGTCATGCATGAGTCCTGCTACGCTAGTGTAAGTTATCTTGTACTTGTCACGCACACAAATAATGATTTATCCCAATCAAGCAAAATGTATCGGTATCCTAACATAATGTACCACCATCGTTATATTTTATTTTTATGTTCTACGATGGTATCTTGTTGCGTAGAATAACATTTGAATTGGTCGGGTTTGTGCCTTCTATAGTGGTTGATATGTCTTGTACTAATGCTTTTGTATAAAAACAGAAAAAACAGCTGACTGTCAGCATTCGGAACTTTTGATGCTATGCAAAAACACTGTGAATTACCAATGAAAAACAGCATCACATCAAAATACCTGTGGAAACACAGTATATTATACCCTTTTCCAATGATCTTTGATATAAAACAAAAAGTCCACCTCGTAATTCCAATGGAGAAAATGAGAGCACCAAAAAAACAAAAATGTGAGGGTCCATAACTGACTTCAACTTCGACGGACGAAAAAAAATTGATCCGTAATTAAAAGACACCAACAATGAAAAGAACAACATGAAAAATCTCCATTTTACCACAGTGAAACACTGTTTTTTCTCCAATTCAATGATCCTGATTGACATCCTCTCGGGGAACCCCCGCCCCCTGCCGTATATATATATATATATATATGTATGTATGTATGTATGTATGTTTGTATGTGTGCATGTATGTATATATATGTATGTGTATATATATGCGTGTATGTGTGTGTGTGTATGTGTATGTGTGTATGTGTGTATGTGTGTATGCGTGTATGCGTGTATGCGTGTATGCGTGTATGCGTGTATGCGTGTATGCGTGTATGTGTGTATGTGTGTATGTGTGGTATGGTATGGTATGGTATGGTATGGTATGGTATGGTATGGTATAATATGGTATGGTATGGTATGGTACTGTATGTATGTATGGTATTGTATTGTATTGTATTGTATTGTGTTGTATTTGCATTTGTATTTGTATTTGCATTTGTATTTGTATTTGTATTGTATTGCACTTGTATTTGTATTGTATTGTATTGTGTTGTACTGTATGTATGTATGTTTGACAAGGTAAGGAAGGGTAAGGTAATGCAATGTAATGTAATGTAATGTATGTATGTATGTACTCAGAGCAGCTCGTATAGGCTCGAATATGTGAATCACCCAAAACCTTTTCAGTCAACTCACAAAAAAAAATCTGATACTAGCAAAAAAATCAAGTTCCAACAGTGACAAACGCTCGGCAAGAGCAACCACAGTCCGGCTTCAGCTTTACACATTCAGACCCATCCTGGCAAGCTCAGAAGTCTTGATCCCAAGTTTTGTCTGAGTGTTCTTTAAAGGGGTGAAATGCAGGACCGCAGCGAGACTGGAAAAGAAGCGAGAAATGTGAGAAGGAATCAGACAGAAACAGACAGCGCTCTATTGCACAGTTGCAGCACACTCCTCCAGAGCTTTCTCATACTCACCCAGAGATGCATAGCATGCTGACCTAGTGCAGGTTATGGGATCTGTCGTGTTTGCTCAAGCTCTACCACACACTCTCTTCTTCCACCAAAAAGCATGGCAAATAACTGTGATAAAAGCGACGGAAGGCAACAAAGTATGAAGCCTGTTGGAGTAGAAAACGTGGTGGGTCGAATGACTGATAGCCTCTCCGCGACACTCTCAGAATGAGGCAGTCTACTTGAAAGTTTTGGATCACCAAGATTCCACTTTGTAATTCCAAGATCTCACCACTATTGCACAGCTTGCCAAATCATAATCCACAAAAGATTAAAAAAACACATCAAATCACATCAGTATGACAAGGGAAAATGGGAAAAGCTCGTGGCCTCAGTGAAGTGCTTGATTGCTGTCGCAAAATCCTTCTCCTTGCAGACTCAAACCGCATACTAGCGGCTAGCAGCCGGCTAGCACATGCTCAGGATTGACTCAAGTTTTTTTTGCACTGGGTGTCGCCTGTTGAGTGCTGAGCTCATGTCAACTATGCTCAGGACTGATTGACTCAGGATGTTTCCATAGAGGCGTCAAGTTTTTTCATTGACTCCCCTTCTTCATAAGCCAATGCTTGGAATCGCTGGAATCAACATCAAGCTACTTCCCTGGCCATCATGAAGGATGTGCCATGCAAATTTGCTCTCATCAAACTGGAAAAATGGTGAAAAATGTATATTGTATATACTGCCAGTGAAGCATGATGCAGTGCCTTGGCAAATGGCAGGTGCCTTTGCATCGGGCTGAGGATGTTGCTGCGAAGGCAGCGTTTCCTCTGGCTTTCGCTTCTGCAGCCTTTGGATCTTCCATCTCCGAGACCTTGAAAGACAAAAAAAATCAAAGTTTTAGGCCAAAAAGTGCCCGGCACAAACTTAGCTGCGTTGAATATCGTTGAATCAATATGATTCAACACACAAAACAAAACTAGGAGTCGTGGAAATCAAGACAAATAAAGCATTCGTGCTGGAGTAAAGACGCGACAAGTTTCCAACGGACATATTCCCCAAATGGATCATATTGTTCGTGCACACAAACAATACTCCTGCAAGACAGCCAGCTGCTGTTCCAACCCATTACCAAATCAGCACCTCGTTTTGCAATGCTCTCAAGAAGAACACGCAACTTGTGAAAGTATCCGCGAGAGAATCATTTCATGGCTCAAAACGAAGGCTCAAATCGGCGCGTTCCAAATAGTCGCTTTCGCTTGTCTGCCATTTTTTTCATACAAGGATACATGCTTGACATATACAAATATTACCTACTGCATTTACTCTTGGTTGAGCACTTTCAATACATCTTGTGTCAGCATCTTCATAGCAAGAGCCCTTTTCCATGCAGAAACGAAAAGCGCGGTGAAGCACTTTGCTTGGCAGTTCGCAGAACTACTTACTGTGGTCCTCTTGTTGTTTTTTCGGTTTCTGGGAGGTATGGCAAGTTTTCCACAAAAATCACTTCCGGGCTGCAAGCAACGGCGAGTCAAGGTCATGTGTTCTTGCAAATATGGGAAGGAAGTCAAGAAAGAACAAGTCACAGATTGTCCTCAGCAAGCGAAGAATCACTTCTCTGTATGTATATGTATGTATATATATATAGGATTGATTAGGATTGCAAAATGCCGCTTGCAGATATGCTCTGAATCCAATTCCCGTCAACAATTGGATGGAAGGCTCTTTACAACAGGGGAAACACCATGCCTTTTCGCTTCCCATAGGGTGGTGGACCGCGGCTGGCTGCTACCTGGGTAGTGTGGTCAATGACACAGATTGATAGGTGCCACAAAAGCAGGGATCTGAGATACTCAACAAATTCTCAGTCTTCGTAGTCACAGTCACTTGTGTGCTCCGCAAGGTCTCAGCTGGAAGAATCCCGACTGTCCAAAGCAATACCTGGACAGCACCTTTGTAAGCACTTAGTCCACCCTAAGCCAGCACCTGGAAAAGCCCCTGACCGCCTCACTACAAAACACTCCAAAGAAGACTCCCTTGGACACATTGGACACCAAAGGTCAAGGCTCTTGAGACCCAGTGGCAAACACAGACAATGGGAAACAAAGTGAGAAACACAGTGGGGGGACAAAGTGGGGCACAAAGCGGGAGACAAGGTGGGAGACAAAGCGGGAGACAAAATGAGAGACCAAGTGGATGCCATAGCAGGTTATAAGCAGGGAGACAAATTCGGAGACAAAGTGAGAGAAAAATGGCAGACAAAGTGAAAGACAAAGTGGGTGACAAACAGGGACACAAACTGAAACTGGAAGACAAAGCGGGGGACAAAGTGGGAAAGACAGATTGAAACAAAGTGAGAGACAAAGCGGGAGATAAAGTGGGAGACAAAGTGGGAGACAAAAGAAAAAGCAAGGTGGGAGACGAAGTGGGGCACAAAGTGGTACAAAGTGAGAGACAAAGTGGCGGAAGATGGGAGACAAAGTTGGAGACAAGGTTCCAAGGTTCCCAGAACCCTGCGCATGCATGGGGAGAGGCGGAGAAGTCGCGATACCGGCCCCCCTGCTTCCAGAGCACGAACAGCACCCTCAGGCACTCAAATCATCAAAGTTGCGGATGAGGACACCTTTTTTGCACGCTGACGCTGGTGACAAAAAACTGAGAAATACTGAGAAAAAGTGAGATTGCGAAAACATCGTTCAAAATAAATAGTCATGCATGAGTTTCCGCACAATGGCTGTCTCCGTGGCAGCAGCAGCTTTGAAGGAACCAACTGAAGCATCGGCGACCTGCATTTTTTCTTGAACCCAAGCAGTCAAAGGCTACAAACACAAAAATTATAAAAATTTTACAATCAATCGACAGGCGTCAAACTTTCTCCCTTCACCTGGCCTGCATTGCATTTTGATTTGGAACACTCAACAAAGTCTAGCCCAGCACTGTGGAAATTCGGAAAAGGCAGTGTTGCTGTGTTGCTAGTTGTTTTTTTCTCACTAGATGTGTCTCCCTTTTTGCAGATGCTTCTCAGTGCGTTTTGTGCAGGCATCTTTTCCAGGCATCTGTCCGATTTTAGTTGTTTTTTCGTACACTTTCAGGAGGTGTCTTCTGCTGATGTCAAAGGATATGAACAGATTCTTGTGTGTATATATGCAAGAAGGTGGCAGAAGTTTCAAAGATAGGAAACCTATAGGAGAGGTGAGCTGTTGTGACGCATGGATCGCAGAGCAAACCCCCTGATGGACCCAAAGGTGGTTAAGGCTCTGAATATGTTTTGTCTATTTTTTTCTCTCTCTCTCTCGCTCTCTCTCTCTCTCTCTCGCCTCTCTCTCTCTCTCTCTCGCCTCTCTCTCTCTCTCTCCCCCTTCTCTCCCTTTCTATCTATCTATCTATCTATCCATCTATCTATCTATCTATTTATCTATCTATTTATCTATCTATCTATCTATCTATCTAGTTCCTTCTCTCTCACTATCTATCTAGTTCTCTATCCGTGCCTCTGGCTCTCCGTCAATTTTTCCCAATCTCTGTTTCATTTTGCCCTGTCTTTTTATCTCTCTCTCTCTCTCTCTATCTCTCTCTCTCTCTCTCTTCCTCTATCCCCTTCTCTCTCACTATCTGGCTCTCACACACAATTTTTCCCAATCTCTGTTGTCTCTCTCTTTCTCTCTCTTTCTCTCTCTTTCTCTCTCTTTCTCTCTCTTTCTCTCTCTTTCTCTCTCTTTCTCTCTCTTTCTCTCTCTTTCTCTCTCTTTCTCTCTCTCTTTCTCTCTCTTTCTCTCTCTCTTTCTCTCTCTTTCTCTCTCTTTCACTCTCTTTCTCTCTCTCTCTCTCTCTCTTTCTCTCTCTCTCTCTTTTTTTGGTATTTTCTACCTATCTTTCTGTCTGTCTGTCTGTCTGCCTGCCTGCCTGTCTGTCTATACACCTCTCCCTGTATGTTTCCTCTCTTGTTCCATCTCTATCTCTATCTTTACATCATCGTTTGCATCTCTCCGACAAAATTTGTACAATATTGTCTACACAGTAGTTCGTACACAGGAGTTCTTACACAGCAGTTGTTACACAGGAGTTCTTACACGGGAGCGGTGACCTACTCGTATCTGAAAACTCCTACAAAACTTCTGCTTCTCAAGTTCTTCTAAATTTTCTCTTCAGGCGGCAGGGGCGGCCAAAAACGGGTTTGCAAAACGTGACCCTCTGCGGGCATCGCCCGTGTCGGATGCACAAACGTGTGGTGAAAGACGACTTTGGGCCCGGTGAACCCTTTGCGGAGATCATGCGTGCCGGATGCGCAGACATGTGGTGAAATGCGAATTGTCTGGCCGGCGGCGTATGAAGGTCGAACGTGGAAAACAGAAGCTACTCTGTGGCAAGGGTTCTTTGTGCAAAAGCTTCAAAGCTTCCTTGTGTAAAAGTTCTATGTCTAAACCATTCTTTGTGTAAAGGCGTCCGTGTGTAAGGGCTTCTGTGTGCAAACGGGTCTGTGCAAAAGGTCTCCTGTCCAAAACTTCTCTGCGCAAAAGCTTTTGTGTGCAAAAGCCCCTCTGCGAAAAGACTTCTCTGTGCAAAGACTTCTCTGTGTAAAAGCTTCTATGTGCAAAAACTTTCTGCGGGTAAAAGCTTCTGTATGTGAACGCCTCTGTGGGTAACAGCTTCTGTGTGCACAAGTTTTTGTGCGTATAAGCTCCTTTGTGCAAAGACTTCTCTGTGCAAAAGCTTCCGTGTGTAAAAGCTCCTCTGTGTAAAGACTTCTCTGTGTAAAAGCTTCTGTGCGTAAAAGCTCCTCTGTGTGAAGACTTCTCTGCCCAAAAACTTCTATGTGCAAAGGTATTAAAAGCTCCTCTGTGCAAAGACTTCTTTGTGTGAAAGCTTCTGCGTGTGCAAAAGCTTCAATGTGTAAAAACGCCTCTGTGTAAAAGCTTCTGTGTGTAGAAGTTTTTTGGGGTAAAAGTTTCTGTGTGTAAACAAAAGCTTCTCTGTGTAAAACATTTGTGTGGAAAACCTCTCTGAGTAAATGCTTGCGTGTGTGTGTAAAAGCTTCTTTTGGTAAAAGCTGTGTGTAATGTAAAAGCTTCTGTGTGCAAAGGTTGTGTGTGTGTGTGAAAGCGTCTGCGTGTAAACGTGAGTGCGTAGCACAGCTCCTCTGTGTAAAGGCTTCTGTGCGCAAATGTCTCACTGTGTGCAAAAGTTTCCCTGTGTCAAAACTTCTCTATGTAAAAGCTTCTGTGCTAATGTCAAGTGAGAACAAACATCGCTAGCGGACTTCTGTTTTGGTCGCATGGTAGTGCAGTATACACATTTTTCATAATGTGGTACAGTTCTTGGATCACCGTGTGTCTGTTGGCGATGTGTTCATGGCGAGCAAAGACAAGACGACAGTGTGGCCCGAAAGAAAGCAGGAGGGAAGAGACGAGAAGATATATATATATATAGTAAAAAAACAAAAGAATTTATGCTGATGACGGATGATGGTAATGACGGTGGCGAAATTTGGTCACATGACATATATCCACAGTTGGATGTTTTTTTCCCCCCGCTGGAGGTTTGCTGCAGGGCTGGCGCATGGCGCCTAGTGCACTTTTTGAACAGCTCAACTTACAAAAGTGCTCCGAAGCTGAGGTGGCTTTAACATTTTGACTTTGACATGTGCTTCGCGCCGCAGCCGTGTGCACTTTCAAGAACTCAACTTCCAAAAGGGCTCCAACGTTGAGGTGCTTTAACATTTTGACTCCGAGATGTGCTTCGTGCCACTGGTGCCACAGCTGCGTCCACTTTTTGAGCAGATCAACTGCCAAAAGTGCTCCGGACCTGAGGTTGCTTTTCACATTTTGACTTCGAAATGCGCTTCCCGCCACAACCGCGTGCAGTTTT